GGGTGGGGGCGGGGAGGGGGTGGGGTGGAGTGGGGGAGGGGTGGAGGTGGGGGCGGGGTGGCGGTGGGGCGGGGGGGAGGAGGGGGCGGGGTGGGGGGGGCCGAAGACTCCCCTGGCCCACGTGGAGGAGCGCCCCGCGGAGGTCCCCGATGCAGGGGGGAAAGGCAGGTGGGGACAGGCGGAGCGGGGCGCGCGCGGCCTTACGAGGTGTCCTGGAAGTGGTAGTCCCACTGGCCGTTTATTAAGCATTTGGGTCCAACTCGGAGCCCGGCTGCCGACACCGAGAGGCAGTAGATGGCGCCCAGCAACCCGAAGGCCGAGCAGAAGACGGAGCGCAGCATCTGCGGGCGGGGTGCGCGACAGGTGAGCGGGGTCGCGCCCTGCCCGCTCGTGCGCGCGCCTCGAGGCGCGTGGAGAATACATCTCCCGGCAAGGCCTCGGACGTGGCCTTGGCTGACCCTGCGAGCCAGAGACCCCTCCGCAGGCCCGCCCAGGCCGAAGTTTGCGCGGCGAGGGAGGGGTGCGGTGGCCCCTGGGACTCTGCAGGGGAGCTCCCGTAGCTAGGGGGACCGTGGCCTCAGATCACGGAGACCTGCGGGGACCTGGTCACAGACCGAACCCCGATTTGGATCTTACCCTGCAGCGGTTTCCGCAGCAGCCCGCACCGCAGCAGCCCTTGCCCCCCGCGCGGACGGCGGAGATCCCGGGACACAGCACCTGCGGAGGACAGTCAGCGTGGCAGCCGGCCCCCCGCCCCCGCCCCAGCGCCGCCCCGCGGCCTCCTGGAGGGGCTGGGATGGCCTCAGCCCTTCGGACCGCGGGAAGACCTTCTCCCCACTGCCCCTCGAGTGCCTTGGGGCTCTACCTTAATTTATCATTATTTACGTGTCTACTTATCTGTATTCACATGGCAGCCTCCAGTGACAGGGCCCATGTCCTTTGCAAACCTTGACACTCAGTAGGGGCCTCCTGAACTGGAGTCGAGGGGGCTTAGGGTCCATGCCTGTGCTCACTTCCCCCTCCATGAATTGATTCATCTCTGTGGGTCTTCAAGACCCGTATCAGGCTTTATCTTAAAAAATTGTTTTTAATGTTTATTTATTTATTATTTCTGAGAGAGAGAGAGAGGCAGCGTGAGCAGGGTCAGAGAGAGAGGGAGACACAGAATCTGAAACAGGCTCCAGGCTCCGAGCTAGCTGTCAGCACAGAGCCCGACGCGGGGCTGGAACCCACGAACCTTGAGATCATGACCTGAGCCGAAGTCGGAGGCTTAACCGACTGAGCCACCCAGGCGCCCCCTCAGAGTTTATTAATGAAATAACAGGTCCACCTGACGTCAAGACTGGCTCAGAGTGAAGGGTCACAATGACTGGAAGTCCCCTGAGCAGCAGGAAGGAATGGCGGTGTTGGAGGGTCTGGGGAGCCGGGGTTGTGTGGAGGGTGGGGGAGAGCCTTGTGAGTGCTCTGATAGGACCTAGGGCTCAGCTCCTGCAGCCCTGTGGCCTTCTCAGCCCCTCCCCTCTCAGGGTGTCACCTGTCACCTGGTACAGGACCCACCTCCAGATTCTAATCTGACTGCTCAAGGGTAAGTTCATTTCCGTGTCTTGGCTTTAACTCCAACCAGCCAGCCTCATGCTGACCTCACGATTCCCCCCAAATTCCCCCGGTTCGCCTCCCTGTGACTTTTTGTTTGTTTCCATCCCTGGAAATACTCTGTAGGTCACCCAGGCTGAAAAACTTGAATCCTCCACACCCAGCCAGACCTCGAGGCTTCTCGACTTTTCCTTTAATGGTTCTTGAATCTGTCTCTTCTTTGGTCTGCAGAGTCCGTCCCCAGTCACCTCCCACGAGGATGCTGTTCTCAGCATCTCTACCAGATCTCTGTATCTCTTTCCCCTCCTTATATCTGTTTGGCCTCCACGATGCCGCACACTAGATCTTATGTTGTTATCACCAGACTTTCTGCCGGTCTTTTCTCTGCTCAGGTCCTTCAGGGCGTCGTCAGAGTAGCCTATCAAGACTGAGCTCTCTAGGCCAGGCTGGTCTAGGGCCAGCGCTGGGCTCCCGGCTTAGCCTCTCAGGGCAGAATGCTTCCTGACAAGCTCCTAGATCCAAAGACAGCTAGAATGGCCTTCGGGATTTACCAATTTCCAGTGACCCACCTGCTTGAGATTTCTACTTTCTCAGGCAAAGTGTTCGTTTCCTTTTCTCGTCCAAGCTCCTCTGTCTTACTCGGTGCCTGCATCTATGCCAAGGTCTTGGTAAGCATAGAAGGAAACACTGAGTTTACGGCTTGGAGCTGCCTGCTTGGCCACTGGCCCATTCTCGGCCACTGCCGCTCTCCTGGACGGCCTCCGTGACCTCCATCTGGTTCTGCCTCACCTGCTGACTCCTAGTCCACACAGGAGCCAGTGGGATCTGCTTTTTTTTTTCACACACACGCACACACGTGCACACACACACACGGAGCACGCAGGGGAGGAGCAGAGAGAGAGGGAGACACAGACTCGAAAGCAGGCTCTAGGATCCAAGCTGTCAGCACAGAGCTGACGCAGGACTCAAAGTCACCAACTGTGAGATCATGACCTGAGCCAAAGTCTGACGCGTAACCAACTGAGCCACCCAGGCGCCCATCAGCAGGATCTTCTTAAATCCAGGAGAGAATGGAGCTACTAAAACTCTAATAGTTTGTTGATGGGAATGAAATTGGTATCAGAACTTCAGAAAACTCTGTTAGCACTGAATACTTGCATACCTTAAGAATCAGCACTTTCAGGGCGCCTGGGGGCCTCAGTCAGTTAAGAATCTGACTTTGGCTCAGGACATGATCTCAAGGTTCCTGAGTCAAGCCTGCCCTGCATCGGCCTCTCTGCTGTCCACATAGACCCTGCTTCGGATCCTCTGTCTCCCTCTCCCTTTGCCCCTCCCCCCACTTGTGCACACGCTCTCTCTCTTAATAGTAAATAAACACTAAAAAAAAAAAAAACCAACCCCAGCAATTCCACCCCTAAGTATCCACCCAACAGCAGCACAAACATAAGTTCCCCTAACGACATTTACAGGGACGTTTATAGCACCGTTACTTATAATCAACCCGAATCGGGAGCCTGTCCAAACATCCATCGATGTTTGGCAGGATGTTTACGTTGACGGTGGTATATTCACACACGGGGATGCACAAGAAATAACAGACTCCGACTCTCCCTGATGATATAGGAGAACCTCCCAGGCCTGGGCTGAGCTGGAGAAGCCAGACACAAAATTGCTATACGGTGGGATTCCATTTCTGTAAAGTGCTGACCAGGGCACACCAGCCTGCGGGGCTAGAATCAGGGTCGCCGGGGCTCTTGTCTGTGGGGGGCCATGCCTGGTGAGGGAGGCACGTCTGGGGTTCTGGTAATGACCCGTGTCTTGGTCTGAGTGCTGGGTCCGCGGGCGGGTTCGCTTTGTAAAATTCCATTGAGCAGTACACTGGGGATCTGGGCATTTAGCTGTAGGACTTTAAAGAAGTTCAAAAAGTTTCTCGAAAGCTCAGAACAAGGTAAAAAGTCCTGTGCTGGTTTACTGTGTTGACTTATGATAAAGCTCACGTCCCCCGTAGGGGGGGGCCTGTCCCCACCCCCAGCTCATGCCATTAAGCCTCGGCTGCACCTGCACCTTCGCCATCCTCAGATGGGCGCTCGAGGCTGTGCACCTCCCAGTGCCCTGTCTGCAGTGTGGACGGCTGCCTCCTGGGTCCCAGCTCAGAGGGCATCCCATCCACGCCTTCCTTGAAAATGCTACACACAGCGGCACCCGGCTGGCTCATTTGGTAGAGCCTGTAGCTCTTGATCTCAGGGTTGTGAGTTGGAGCCCCGCGTGTGGCATAGAGTTTACCTTTTTTTTTTTTTAATATTTTTATTTATTTCTAGAGGAGAGAGAGAGAGAGAGAGAGACAGCGTGAGCAGGGGGGGGAGAGAGAGAGAGGGAGTCACAGACTGAAACAGGCTCCAGGCTCTGAGCTGGCAGTCAGCACAGAGCCCGACGCGGGGCTCGAACCCACGAACTGCGAGATCATGACCTAAGCGAAAGTCGGACGCTTAACCGACTACGCCACCCAGGCGCCCCAAGTTTACTTTAAAAAAAAAAAGAATTAAAATAAAAGTAGGGGCGCCTGGGTGGCTCAGTTGGTCAAGTGTCCGGCTCTTGGTTTCGGCTCAGGTCATGATCTCACGGTTCGTGGGTTCAAGTCCCGCGTAGGTCTCTGTGCTGACAGCTCAGAGCCTGGAGCCTGCTTGGGATGCTGTGTCTCCCTCTCTCTCTGCCCCTCCCTCATTTGTGCTCTGTCTCTCTCCCTCTTTCTCTCTCAGAAATAAACATTAGGGAAAAATAAAACGACAAAAGAAGATGCTATCAACTGTGGTGTCCCCACTTGCCCTCAGAAGGGGCTCTGTCCCCGGTGACTCGACTCCGACCTGAAACCCTCTTGCTCATTTGTTTGCTTTGCTCGCAGACTTTTAATCAAGCACCTGTCGAGTCCAAGGCAGGGACGAGGCGCCTGGTGCAGAGCAGGCTACAGAACGGGAGTCCTGGCTCCCACGGAGCTTCCTGCTCCCCCCTTTGATAGTGTGTGGCTCCCTCGTGGGCCCCCCAGCTTCAGGGAGAGCAGGGACTTGGCCTGTGGGGGGGGGGGCGTAGCTTAGGAGCAGCCCGGGGCCTGGGGGTGTGAAGAACGCAGCTGGGAGGGAGCGCGGGTAAGGGGCCATCCTCTGGGGGGGGGGTCTTCCCGGAAACAGGCTGGTTGGATCGTGGGGAGGGGAGGGTGTTGGGGCTGGAGGAGGGGGGTGCGGTGTGACACTGGGTGAGCGTGGAGGCCTGGGAGGAACAGGCACAGAAGCCTTGTCCCCTGGGGTTTGCCCATCGGCCGCCTGAGAAGTGCGGAGCCGCGCTGGGCAGATCTCTGGTCTACGGGCCCGTTAGGACGTTAAACTACCCTGACCTTCCTTCCGGAAGTTCCCCTAAACAGGGAGGGCTCGGAGGATGCGGTCAGGAGGCCCCCGCCCCCCCGCCCCCCACTTCGGACAGACCCGGGGCTCCAGGAAGACACAGGCGCCTTCCCCACCACGCTGGCCTGAGTTGGGAGTTTGTGGGGTACGGGGGGGGGCGGGGGGGGTGGGAGGTGGGGGGGCATCCGGGAGCCGGGCTGGGCCACAGGTGGGATGACCCTCCTGACACCCAGCTCCCGGCCCCAGTGTCCCCGCGCCCACCCTCCGTGTCCCTCGACATCCTGCCCTGATAACGGCCCGCCTCCACCTGGCCCGGGGCCCTTGCAGGGAGGCGTCCCCAGCAGCTGCTGCAGCAGCAGGGATGGGGGAGGCGGGTCAGGGGGGCCCAGGGAGCGCGTCCTCCCCACCCCGAAGGGAAGCGGCTTACGGGCTCCGTCTTTCCTTCTCTTTTCCCTCCGCCTTCAGCTCAGGACCCCGGGGCTCCTCCAGGACCCGCGGAGCCCAGTTTGGGGGGGGGGCGCGGCTCCAGGGCCCCAGCTCGCGCGGCCGCCCCTCCCCCAGGCAGCCGCGCGCCCCTCCCCCCGCCGGCCGAGCCCCGCAGCGCCCCCCCCCGCCCCCGGCTCACCATCAGGCCCCCGCCGACGAAGCCGCCCAGGAGCCACACTTGCAGGCTGAGGCGGCTGTCGGTCCAGGAGGTCTTCCCGTCCGGCACCAGCAGGAGCGCGTTGGCCAGGATGCAGAGCAGGGAGAGCGGGATGAGGGTGAGCCCCACGAAGCGGGAGCACTTCCCGGTGCACATGGCGGGGCGCTGTCCCGAGAGCGGCGAGTGAAAGTGAGCCGGGGCCCGCGCCGGGGAAGACCATTCGGGAGCAAGGTACAAAGGTTGGGGAGGGGTGTGGCGGACGCCGGCAGGGGGAGATAAGGGAGAGGCAGGGGAGCGCGCAGAGAGCCGAGGGGCTGCTGCTCGTCGCGCGGGGGGTGGGGAGCGCGACCCAGGAAGTTGCCCGAGGCCGGTGTGGTCGGGGTTCCTCCTCCGCGGGGCGCACACCGCTCCGCAGCCCCTGTGGGCTCCCCGCCCGCAGGCGCGTCACTCAGCCCAGCGCCCCCTGCCGCGCCCCGGAGCCGCCTGCCAGGCTCGGGGTGCAGTGATGCCCGTCACGCGTGCGGGTCGTGGGGCTGCATGCGACCCCTGAGAAGCGTTTGGTAACCGGGAATGCGCTAAGCAGGGGGGTGGTGGCCGTCCCGCGGGAGGCCTCCCCCCCACCCCGGGAAGGACACTGGAGGAACGGGGTGGACCCGCAGTGTCCCCTCCGCGTCTCCTGCCTCTGTGTTCATCAAGCCCTCCTCCTGGGGAGGCCACGCCTGTCTCTCAGGCCGGGCTGGCCCGAGGACCGACTGATTAGAACATTCTAGTCTCGGGGCGCCTGGGTGGCTTAGTCGGTTAAGCATCCGACTTTCGCTTAGGTCATGATCTCGCGGTTCGTGGGTTCGAGCCCCGCGTCGGGCTCTGTGCTGACAGCTCAGAGCCTGGAGCCTGTTTCAGAGTCTCTGTCTCCCTCTGTTTCTGACCCTCCCCTGCTCACACTGTCTCTCTCTCTCTCTCTCCTAGAAAAAAAAAAAAAAGAACACTCTAGTCCCCAGCCCCAGTGTTTGATTCGGTGATGGCCAGGAGACCCAAGCTGGTCCCGAGAGAGTCCGCTTCTGCTTTGGGTCCTCACTCTGGGGTGGCAGAAGTTCTCTTTCTGTCCGGGATACGGAAGGTGCCGGTGGCTCGAGGGCCTGGCTGCCGGAGAGCAGAGTCGGTCCAGGGGAAAGAGCAAGAAAGAGCAATGAAGAGATGGAGAGAAACAGTCCTGACGGCCTTGTTTGAACTTCCAGATCCAGCCATGCCTGAAGCTTGATCAGTCCTTCGAGAGGCGTTCATGTCAACTGCATTGTGGGAATCCTTTTCGCTGCAGAGATGAACTCCTGAGGCCCCTGCTGTGCGTGGGGCGTTGGGGGCGTGGATGGGGGAGCCGGTGTTGGAGACCCGTGGGGGCTCACAGCTGGGGCTTGAGACCCAGATGCGGGGTGTCCGGATTAGAAGGAAAGCGTCAGCCCAGGTAGGATGTGGAGTGTGGGGGCGGGGTGACAGAACGTCAGAGGGGCGCCTGAGACCATCAGCCACACGACTTGTCTAGCCAGTGGCCCGTGGTGTAGCCGGTCCAGGCAGCCCACTGAAGCCACTGCAGTTATGTGGACAGTGCATCCTCAGCTCCCCACTGAGGATGAAGGCCAGCATCTGGGAGGGACCCCTCCTATTTTCTCCGATGGAGAAAAGCCTTTGAAGAATTTGCCTCTTGAATCAGAGGGTACCCAGAACCAGAAAATACTTTGAGCTTCCCCCGGCGCCCCGCCTCAGGCTCATGGACGTGTGACAACTCGTATTTGGTTTTGCTGGACGCTTTAAAAACATTTCCACGTTATTTCTGATGTGCCTCTTCATGAGTTTTTCTCTTTTCATTTGTTTTTTGTTTTGCTTTTTTTTTTGCATTCTCCTGTATTTCAGAAGGCATACTTGAAATACAGTAGTGGTTGCTTGTAAGTGTTGCAAAAATAGTCTTTTATGTAAAAATTCTTTAATGTTTATTTATTTTTGAGAGAGAGACAGAGACAGAGAGTGGGCGGGGGAGGGGCGGAGAGAGCCGGAGACACAGAGCAGGATCCAGGCTCTGAGCTGTCAGCACAGAGCCTGATGCGGGGCTCGAACTCACGGACCTTGAGATCGTGACCTGAGCCCAAGTCGGCCGCTTGACTAACTGAGCCACCCAGGCACCTCCCCCCCTTAAAAATAAAATAAACATTAAAAATGTTTTTAAAATAACCAAACTGAATCTAGATTCATCCTGAAGAGCCATGTCACTGAAAGGTGCATGTGGGCAGAATTAAAGGTCACCTAGAAAGGAAGAAAAGTGGTCTGGCTGGAGATTTCTCTGCGGAACTAAATACTGCAAGACAGCGGAGCAGCATCTACAGCTGTTCTGACAGCAGGAAAAAAAAAAAGCCATGACTTAATTCTTGTATAAATATCCAGGGTACTTTCTGTGTGTGAAGGGCAGTAGAATTGCATTTCTGAGAATGCTTGGACTTGAGATTCCACTGTGTCCCTTTCTTCTGCTTTTTTTTTTTTTTAAGAAAGCATTTTAAGTCACTGAGAGATGTAGTCAAAGGTAAACTCCAAAATGGGGAAGTCTTACCATGACTCTAAATAATTTTCGTCAATGTCGTTACGAAACTGAATGTAAATTTCAGAAAGGAAATCGTTTTAAACAGAAAAAAAGATATAAATTCCAAAAGTGGCATTAAACAGTAGTAAGGATGTCGACTGTTGATGGCCTGCTGTGCCCAGAGTCCATTTTATTTATTTATTTATTTTTAAAAAGTTTTTAATGTTTTTATTTATTTCTAAGAGAGAGAGAGAGAGAGAGACAGCGTGAGCAGGGGAGGGTTAGAGAGAGAGGGAGACGCAGAATCTGAAACAGGCTCCAGGCTCCGAGCTGGCAGTCAGCACAGAGCCCGACGCGGGGCTTGAACCCACAAACCGTGAGATCATGCCCTGAGCGGAACTCAGATGCTTAAGCTTAACCGACTGAGCCTCCCAGGTGCCCCCCAGAGTCTGTTTTAAAGAAACGTACGTGAAATAGCAGAAAATCCGCCTCTACTGAAACAAAAGGGAGATTTGTCGGTTCAGGCAATCCCAACGTTCAAAGGTAGAAGCAGCTTCCAGGCATGACTCATAAAGAGATCATTGATAAGCTGGACTTTATTAATATTAACGACTTGTGCTCTGCAGGAGACACTGTCAAGGGAGTAAGGACATTAAACCACAGAGAGTATTTTGGAGTATTTTCGGAGTGTTTCGGAGAAAATACTCTGAAAAGACACATCTGGTAAAGGACTGTTGCCCCAAATACACAAAGATCCCTAAACACTCACCAAGAATAATAATAATAAGAAAAAAAAACCTTATTAAAAAATTGGACAAAAGACCCAAATAGACACCTCACCAAAGATGACGTTTAGGTGGCAAATAGCACATGAAACGATGCTCTGCAGGGGCGTCTGGGGGACTCGGTTGGTTGAGCATCTGACTGCAGCTCGGGTCATGATCTCACAGTTCGTGGGTTCGAGCCCTGCGTCGGGCTCTGTGCTGACAGCTCAGGGCCTGAAGCCTGTTTCAGATTCTGTGTCCCCCTCTCTCTCTGCCCCTCCCCCACTCATGCTCTGTCTCTGTCTCAAAAATAAACAAACTAATAAAAAAATTTAAAAAAAGAAAATTCATGTGTAACCTCTGACCCCCCCAAAAGCTTTGTAGTGAGAGACTACCATTGACCTGAAGCCTTTCCGATAACCCAAGCAGTCGACTAACACATCTTTTCTGTATTATATACTGTATTTTGCAATAAAATAACAGAAGGGGCGCCAGGGTGGCTCAGTCGGTGGAGCTCCTGACTTTTGATTTCAACTCATGTCATGATCTCATGGTCGTGGGGTCGAGCCCCACGTGGGGCTGTGCTGACAGTGTGGCGCCTGCTCGGAATTCTCTCTCTCTCTGCCCCTTCCCCACTTACACATGTGCACACGTGCTCTCTTTCTCTAAAATAAAAAAGAGAGAGAGGAAACGTTAGTAAGAAAGTCACAAGGAGGAGAAAATACATTTACGGCGCCGTGTACTATATTTAGTGAAAAAGCCCGTGTATAAAGGAACCGAGTGCAGTTTGAACCCATGTTGTTCAGGAGTCAACTGTGTATTTATTTCAGGGTCACCCCCTGCTTAGTGTCATCAAAGAGGTGTGCATCACATCCTGATTAGGGACCACTGAGCAGCAAGGAAGGGCCGCCAGCAGGTGGCAGCTTGGCTGGGACCACAATGCGCTCTGTCCCCCCCACAAGCTCCTCTCTGGCTGGTTATTCTGGGTGATGTGTTCATCTGCTGGGGCTGCGTAACGCAGGACCGCGCACCTGGGGGCTTAAGCAGCAGAAATGGACTCTTCCGGAAGCCCGAAGGCCAGCACCAAGAGGTGGGCAGGGCTGGCTTCTTCTTCTTCCTTTTTTTATTTTTTAAACTGTTTGTTACTTTTTGAAAGAGAGACAGAAAGAGTGTGAATGGGGGAGGGGCAGAGAGAGAGAGGGAGACACAGAATGGGAAGCAGCTCCAGGCTCTGAGCTGTCAGCACAGAGCCCGATGCAGGGCTCAAACCCACGAACCGTGAGATCATGCCCTGAGCCGGGATCGGTGGCTCAGCTGAGCCCACAGGCGCCCGGGGCTGGCGTCTTCCAAGTGCTCCTTCTCTGGCTTCCTTGTCCCCGTGACTTTGAGTGATCTTCCTTCTTTACATGTCTGTGCCCACATTTCCTCTTTTTCTAAGATCATTTTGGATGAGGGCCCACTGTGGTGACCTCACTTTAACTTATTTAAAGACCCTCCCCCTTGGGGCGCCTGGGTGGCTTAGTCAGTTAAGCGTCCGACTTTCGCTTCGGTCATGATCTCGCGGTTTGTGGGTTCGAGCCCCGCATCGGGCTCTGTGCTGACTGCCAGCTCAGAGCCTGGAGCCTGTTTCAGAGTCTGTGACTCCCTCTCTCTCTGACCCTCCCCTGCTCACGCTGTCTCTCTCTCTCTCTCTCTCTCCTAGAAATAAATAAAAACATTAAAAAAATAATAAAAAATAAAGACCCTCCCTCTGGATACAGCCACATGGTGAGGTTCTGGGGCCTGGGACTTCAACACAGGACTTTTCAGGAGCCACTGGGGCCCTAGCATGTGTGGAAACCTCCCTTGCAGCCACGGGGCCAGACTGAGGCAGTAACAACTACCTGGGCCTGTAATTCTATCACCGTTATCTAGGGAGGCGGGGAGGCCATGTGTTTCATTTCTTGCTTTAATTGCCACGTTCTTTTACTTTCCACGTTGCACCAAGAAATGCAAGTTAAAAATGCTTTTTTAGGGGCGCCTGGGTGGCTCAGTCGGTGAAGCGTCTGACTCTTGATTTCAGCTCAGGTCGT